AAACATATATTGAGAACATCAGACAACTAACGACAACACCGCGAACAAAAAGACACTTACAAAACATGCAACTGCCGACAAAACAAAACTGCCCTAACGGAAATTGCCTGCAGTCATCCGTTGTTTACCAAGCTACTGTAAAACGCAAAGACAATAACACAACTGAGACGTACATTTGACTTACAGAAAACGAATTTAAGACTAGACATAGAAATCACACTGCCTCTTTCCGCCACAAAAAACTACGAAACTCGACCGAGCTCAGTAAGCACATTTGGACCCTTAAAGACAGCAATATCGACCACAACATCTCATGGAGCATCATCACACACAGCAAACCATACAACAGAACCAGTAAAAGATGCAACCTTTGCCTCAAAGAAAAATTCTTCATCCTCTACCAACCATCCAAATCATCCCTCAATAAACGCAACGAACTTGTTTCCTCTTGTCGCCATAGATCCAAAACACTCTATGTAATTTGTAACCATACACCGTAATTAATACTCTAACTTCCGTCATCTAACTTGAAATTATACACCTTGATTAATACACTAACTTCCGTCATCATCTTGTATATATATTTTAAGCATTTAAGTATTTTATTCATTAAATCCCCTGAAGAGTGAGCAATCACGAAACAGGCTTGTCGGGATGAAATTGTAGTTTTGTGTATTTTCTCAACACCACTACACATATTACGCTCTGCTCTTGGGCATCGAGCACTGTTTTATACGGAAAATCATAAATTATAAACTTCCTATATATATATATATATATATATTATTATGGATAATATTCCTGGATAAAAGAGCGCTCAATATTCTATATATTAGAAGAGCGTAAGATAAAATGAACTAAAATAAAATGGACAATTGTTTTGCTGTCGCTACTCGGAGTTTCACGCCGTAGGGCGATCTTCAGGCAACTGTTGCTGAAGATCGCCCTACGGCGTGAATCTGACACAGCAATTGTAATTTTATTTTAGTTCATTTATATATACTATATATATATATATATATATATATATATATATAAGTTGAAAATGTAATCCAGGCATTTAATATATAAAAGATAAAAGTTTCTCCGGATTTTAAGTGATTTTTATTGAGCTTTCGACTCGTTGCTTCGAGCCTTCATTAGACGCTCTAAACGTCTCCAAGCTAAAAGCACGTGTAAATAAATATCCTCATTCTGATATATAAAATATATATATATATATATATAAATAGACAATAGCAGTAATTTTTTCGGAGTTTCACGCAGTATGGCGATCTTCAGGCAACTGACAGATTATTTATTATTCACTATATACACAATTCGTTACGAGGTGTTAAATTAACGACGGCATGCACTTAAAAGTTCAGAGCGTTTATTTAAAATTTTCTTTTTATGTCCTTTTAGGATCAGTAGTCTTTTTTCAAAACAAACATGGCAGGTTTTTCGGTTTTTGTTCGGAGGTGGAAGTTGTTTGATGAAGTCCCTCATGATGCTGTATTTTTTTTGTTTTCTTTCTGTATCCACGTGTTTTTATAAATCATATATAAACAAGTGTATATACACAAAGTGTATATACAATGTGCCCTCCCTGCTATCACCATAGTGCAATGGTGATTCCTGCACTTGGGACACAGGATGTACGGTTAGGGTTAGGGTATATATGTGCAAATGTGCTATTACAGTTTTACAAATCATGAGAGTTTTTGAATGTAACCTTTTGTGATATATCAGTATCATTGCAGAATTTTTGTTTTACACTTTTGACTTCTCCTTCATGCATTTCATCAATGCTATCACATGTAACAGGGGCAGTTGGAAGGATCTAAAATAAATAAGAATACATTGAAACTTCATGGTATGAGTGTCCTTCACAATAACAGAGATAGTTGCTGCTGCAACAGAGCAGAATAACAAAGTTTTGTGCAACACGAATTATCAATTATTTCACATAAAATGAACGGCACTTATACAGAACTAACCAGCAATTTTCTAAGAGATCTATAAGGCATGCTAAAGACTTTCATTTTATTTACTATACATATATAAGTAAGTGACATTTTACTAACCTTAGAAAAATGAAGGTTGTTTGTGATGCTTCTACAACATCTTGGGATTTTGCCATACCATTGTGTTTATTTGAAATGTGCTTCAAAAAATTATCAGCATTCATTTCTGCACCACAATCCTTACATTTAACCTTTCGTCTATAAATTCGTGTACGTTGAGGTTTTGTTTTTTTTGCGCGGGGCTCCTGAACGTTATAATCTTTAATTCTAGTTGCGCCTCTCTCTTAAGAGAAATTTTAATTAAATTAGAAATTTATCTGAGTAAACATCAAAATTATGACAGCATACAATGAACTCACAACTCTCCTTCGGTAATTGTGGGTTTACAAACTTCGGTAAATATAACTAACCTTCCATTGAAAAGTAGTCTGTTGAGTTCGAGTTACTCGCCATATCTCTTTCTTAGTATACTCTATACATTCAGTAACAACCACGAGTGAACTTAATGATCGAACTGATTTTTATTATTTTACAGAGCAGTATTTAAACTCTTTATTACAAACAACAAATATTATTATAGGTCGGAGTAGTTCCTCTGTTTAAGCTATTTATAGTACATAAGGAAATTTAACTAACGTCAATAACTGTTCCTTGGCTCTTAGCCGTGTGGGAACGGATACATTGATAAGCTAAACTACGCACATACTATTACCTTAACATGTTTTTGTGGTTTATGAGCATGACTCAACATAGTCTTTCTCGCCCAAATATACAAAACCGCATAGAATTTGATGAAATTATTGGATTGAAGCTCGCCTCACGGCTCTCGACAATGCAAAAATTAGCATTAGCATGTTTTTACATTTGCAATCATTGTATCTGTTAGATTTTGTGATGTAGCCATCTACCTTCTTTAGTATATACTGACTTACACCAACAAATAGAGATATTACAGATAACTGTTATGATCACATTTAATGTTAAACGTCAATGTCTATGGTCTAAGATCTATCGTACAAAGGTTAAACTTCTTCTATTTATACAAGATATTACGTGTGGATATATTTGTTTCTTTACTAAATATGGTTAATTTACAATCAACGGATAGCTATTACGAACTATAAAAAATATTGTGATTATTGCACATAAGTATCTCTTAAAATAATCATTTAGTTGGTTACATTTGACTTAATTATTTACTAATTACAGGAAGAATATGAGAGCATGTCTTAACAGTATCCAGCGGAATCTGTATCTGCATTTATAATTACTTCATCTTACACATCTCACAGACACATTGCACTGTAGTGTTAAGCCAAAATTCTCAAAAATGAAGGTTTGTTATTTCCACTTAGTAATCAATTAGTTATTCTCGATGGTATGGCAATTTTTCTACTTCCTGAACACTGCCCTGCCACTTGACGGCAATATGCCCTGCAAAAACACTGTTTTCAGCAATTAGGGGGGGTGTCACACGATATTATACCAACGATAATACATATAGATACATGAGCTTTACAACAGTTTTTATTCATGACTACTCTTTTGTGTATCAGCTGCATGAGATACAATAATGTTAGTTTTTTAAATACATAAATCATTTCATTAGCATGCAAGGTGAAAGTCCATGTTGCTTGATATATATATATATACATTGTCCATTGCACATGGTTTAGAACACAAGCAGAAAATATGACAGTCAATTAGTGGGTTTTACTGATATTTCATCATATATTTCCTATGTAAAAATGTTTATTTTCAATGTACATACAATCTTGCCTGCCAATACTTTTCCAAGAAGCAGAAACCTCTAGCTACTATTTGATGATTTAAAAAGTAGGAAAAAAAATAAAACTCCCAAGCTTTAGACAAAAATAGGCTAATAAATCACAAAGGCATAAATAAAAGTTTCATAGCTAAGGCTCATTAACAAATATACCCAATAGTTTTTATAACTCAGTTTTTGCAAGGCAGAATTTAAAGTGTTTATATTACGAATTTTAGCCCCCCTTTTTATTAGCTAAATTGAAAGACCTTGTTTCAGTGACTTTAAATCTGCAATTATAATTGAAATTGGATTGGTGAAAGTGATTTTACGGACGTTCAAAGTCACGATTTTCAGCATTTTTTTTGCGAACTTTTTGATCGGTATGCTAATGCTTGTGACGTAGAAAGTTGAACACATATATCAACATGGCGTATTCTACTAGTAATCTTAATAAGAAACGCGGAGGAAAACGCTGTGTTGCTGGCGGACCTAATCAAATTAGTTGCGCCAATGATTCAAAAACCGAAAGAATGTCGATGCATCTGTTTCCTAAAAAAGAAACAGAGCCGCAAAGTCATAGAAAATGGGTAAATTTTGTGCGTAAACATAGACCGGGTTTTGAGGCTTCCTCTACCTCGTGTCTGTGTTCTGCGCATTTTGAAGATTCTTGTTTTGACATTAATTTGAGCGTGCAAGTCAAGCTCAAAAGAAGGTTGAAGAAAGATGCTATCCCAACCATTGACGTGGTTGGGATTCCTGAACCATTACAGGACGAAATAACCGATCGAAAGCGAAGACAAGTAAGTTTACGCTTGTTTATGTTAATTTTTCTTTTGTCATATGTAAATTCGATATAAGTTTTGTAGATTATTCGACATACTCTCCATAAGCCATCGCTGAAGGAAACATGTTCTCTCGATGAGGAAGTACCATCTACTAGTGATGGAGGTGAGCATGTTGAAGTATGCACTGGGGAAGTAAACGATTCGCCATTTGAAGAAGAACTACATGCAGTTGGTTAAGATATTTGTGAATCCCAGTCTCCATGTAAGTCGTGCCATCGTCTTAAGAAAAAACTTACATCTTTACAAAAGACTTTAAGCTGGTATAAAAAGACAAAAGCATCTTTGAAGAAAAAGACCCAGAAGTTGCAAAATGAATATCGAAGCGAAATCAGGGAAAATCGTAATACATCCGTGGTGACCAGCATTAATATAGACGATGAAATGCAGGGAAGTGCTGAAGAGCTTTTCGAAGGAGAATCATATATGGACTACTCCTCTTTCAAAGAGTCTAGTCAGAGTGAAGATTTAGATAAAGATACCACAAGTAATACAGTCAGGTATTTTATCTTATAAAGAATTAGATCTCTGTTGTATTTCATAATAATGAATTTTCTTAATCGTGTTACAGAATTGATGAAGGAGCAAGCTCGCATGAACAACCTATGTTCATGGTATTTTACATCTCATTGGTTAAGTTATTTGAAAAATTTTGCTTTAACTGCAAGGCTGAAAATCCAAAAGTGCACATTAAAAACATTGGTTCGATGGCCATTGTAGAGCAAAATTGTGGTAAATGTGTTGAAAAGAACTTTATGTGGAGAAGCCAACCTATGGTTTTGGGAAGATATCCAGCTGGAAACGTTATGACTAGTTTTGGTATATTGATGTCTGGTGTCAGTATAAGTCAGGCCATGCTCTCAGTAGTTGAAAAAAATTTGTTTTTATTGTTTACTCTTGTTTCAAACCATTAAACTGCATGTCAACTTATATAGTGCATCCATGTATCTCCTATTTGGTTTTCATCTAGGCATATTTCCTGACCATTCTAAACTCAGCAAAGAAGGTCAACAGTCTCTACAGTGCACAAGTTAAAAGACCTTTCCATCATCGCCCCTCTGATGGTATGTAAGTATGTAACCTGTTGTGTTACCACTTGGATATGCTTTCCGAATAAAGTGGTAAACACAAGCAGTTAAAGGCCGAGTATTCTCCCATCCCATAGACCCACAAAACCATCGCATCAACCATCTGTATGCCACAGCTCTCAAGTACCTGAAGTAAACAAAAAGGTTGGACTATTTATTGTTGATGAAAAAATGTTGATGACAACATTGTTTCTCATACAATTTACAATCTTACATATTTAATGATTGTGACGCTTTGCGGTGATAAGCACGTCCATTCCTATCTCTCAATAGTGGCCCAACGTTGGCATGCTGTGTTATGCATGATATTTTCTCAATGCTGCCATCGAATGTCATTTTCTGCAAAGCTGGTCCTATTTTACGGTGGCCCATAAGGGCCATCACTTAAAAAATCACAACACAAGTAAATGTAATCACAACACAAGTAAAATAATCACAACGCAAGTAAAATAATCACAACGCAAGTAAATAAAGTCACAACGCAAGTAAATAAAGTCACAACGCAAGTAAATAAAATCACAACACAAGTAAAATAATCACAACGCAAGTAAATAAAGTCACAACACAATTAAATATAGTCACAACACAAGTAAATATAATCACAACACAAGTAAATATAATCACAACGCAAGTAAAATATGAAATACTGGAAATTCTTTTTGTGAAGTGGAAACATTGTTGTGATATTTTGCAAAATGGCGCTTGTTTAAATTTGTTCCACGAAAAACCAGACTTATTATAAATTATATTCAATATATTGCTTGATGGATAGCAAAAAAAATGTTTTGTTCAAACTGTGGTATAGAAAGTGTGGAAAATGCGAATTACTGTTATAAATGTGGCAACTCCTTCGAACCGATGCGCGAAAAACTTGAAGAATCTGCAAACCAGACTGGAAAGTATGCCTTGCGCAACCTAGATCTAGCTTGCGCAATTTCGGGAGAAATGCGCGTCCTGACGCGCAGATTTTAAAAAATTTCTTGTTCGCCGCGCATTTGTGAAATTTGCCGCGCAGCGCGAGAAATTATTGCGCAATATCAGCACATGTGCGCTGCAGCGCTGTTGTTTCCGTTGAAAAAAATTGTTGCCTGTTGAATGTCAATCTTACAAGCTGTTTTGACAGGCAAGTTCCGTTAATTGGTTGGTAAGCCAATAAGCGTTTGATGACTAGAAATATGATATCTGAGCAGATTAACTACACATTCTTTGCTTTCGTTTTTCGAGCTTTCTCTTTTTAAGTGACTTCAAGGCAAACCATATCGATTCTTCGGTGTATTCTACGGTGATACGTGATATTTAATTAAACCAACTTGGGGTGTTCAAATTTGTAAGGTGAGTACACGTAATGGTTTAGTAAAATCAAAAGTACTGATACAAAATTACAAATGATAAAAATTCTGAAAGCATTAACGCTTCTAACACTAAACGCCCGGGAAACAAGTTATTATTTAACAGTTATGTTTTTGTGTAACCTAAAAGTAGTGGTACGAAAGGATTTCTTGTATTACAAACTACAAAGCATGTTTTAATACATTTAAGGCAAATAAAATTCACAATCCTTACATAAAACATATTGATAAATGAAGCAATTTATAATTAAAACCGGTTTGCTAACGAACTAACAGGGCTTAGCTCGCTATTGTTTGGTGATAAAGCGAGATTTTTGACAAACTTTTTATCTAATTGTTTATTTATTTTACTAGATGGCTGAGATTCAAGCAGTTAAATCAGGTAAATTCACGCGTTACAATAGCCGAAAATTTTCCTAACAACAATATACACAATATATATCAGCCATTGGTTGATTGCAGGAGCTGATTCGGTGATTCCTCGACAATATTCACTTCTCACTAAGAGTACCAAACCAACATTTGTGTGTTGCTAAAACTAGTGCTGCTTGCCTTTGATACCAAAAACGTTCATTACATTATCTTAACTTATGTTTTCATTGTTGTTGCCTAATTACTAGTTTGCGTTTCATGCAAGAAGGAATGTGGAAGCCATTTTTGCAAAGTTTGCAAAAAAACGTGCCACGCAATTCCGCCTTGCTCAACATCAGCAGGTGATGATGAAGCTTTTGGTGCCCAGGTCTTGTGTAGTGGCTGTGCAAAACTGAGACAGCAGCAGTGGCTAAAATAAGCAGCAAACACTGTCTAAGGAAGGTAACAGAACAATTATCTAGTGTTAGAATGTTAGTCGTGTGTAAGAGTGATCGTGTTTGCGTCACAAAGAAAAGTGGCATGACATTGTCAGTGGGTTTTATAAAAACAATAGTAAACAAACAAGATTGGCTATCGACACATTTGTAACCATAAAAATTGTGTGTTATAGAGTTTCAGTTTGCCAACATGTTTAAAAGGCATAGCAAGCAGCAGAAAACAGGACCAGAAGCAAAGCGAGCAAAGAGTGGACACGAGAAAACCCCAATGGGCTTTTGCTTACTTTGTTTTAGGCAAGGCAAACGCAAATTTTGGCTTGCTAGAGGGAACAAGTCCTCTCTAGCAAACCATTTAAAAACTCACAGCGACAAGGGCGAAAAGACCTTAGCAAATGACGCTATTAGAGAAGATTCCCCTCTTCCTAAATCTGCGCTACAGGCGTACAAAATGCTTAAATCGGCTAGGTAAATGAAAATCAAGTTCCCAATTCCCAAATTGAGAACTGCACTTACATTGTGTATGTTTTCTATGTTAATTGTATTTTCAGTACAAGCCAAGTGCAGCAAAAGTGTGGTGGCGACGGAATGGGAGAACGGATAGAAATTATGGAAGTCGATGAAAGGTAGCTAAATTGCTCATTCCCCTGCGTGAACCATAAAATAACCGAATATCACAAACTGCATACATGTTTTATAATACATTTCTTTTACATATACAGTGATAGCTTTTTAAAATTATGAATATTAAATTGTTTCAGAGAGCTTGGTAAGGATACGGCTGGACATGCAACTGACGAACTTTCGTGCAAAATCGTTTCTGGTGTCAGTGAATCTGAAAGTTGGGAGGAAACCGATGAAAAAGATGAGAGGTTTGTTAGTGAAATACGGCATTTTTCTTGCATTATAGTATCAGATTTTACGACATTTTGTCACGATATTTTGTGAAATTTATGCCATAGTGGTTGAAAGTGTTGACTTTTTAGTTCAAGGCTTCCAATAATTCACTTGTTCGGATAGGTAATTTCTACATTACAAATTTCTTAAGTCGTTTAATATTAACGATGAAATCATTAAGTATTTCAACGTCTTCTGTTGAATTTCTTAGTACATATACTTTTAACACAGTTTGCAAGAAAATTTTAATGTTGGCTTTTTAACACTTTCATTGTTACAGCGAAGAGATTGTGAGAGTTAATGCAGTAAGTAAGACGAGAAAGGCTGCCTCTATTTCAAACACCAGCCGTCTTAGCTATCAAAGCTCGCTTGGAAGTTTTCTTCCTTCAATTTTATCAAGTGAGCAAGGCGACCTGCCATTTGGTGTGGACGAACTTGCGGAAAAAATTGCTACTAAGGTGGCACAAAAGTTGAGTGGTAACCCTAAATCAGCCCAATCAACAAGTTCAACAACTACATACAATCCCACATCGAGTACCGCACTTCGATCTTCCAATTTGATTGAGCTTGTGGATGAAGTGGAAAATTTTGAAATACTAAAAGAAGAGAACAGCTGGGTGCTGCAGTGTCGAACGTGTGTCGAATTTTTAAACTCTTCCCGTGTTTCCTTTTCGTCATCTTTTAATCGACCTACTGGCAAAGCAGACGGATCTTTGGCATCTGGTTTACATATGTCAGATGCCTTGTATGAACAGCTAATTGCAGGCAAGTGTGAAAAATGGTACAGCCTAAAGCAAGCGTGTCATCGACATCAAGCGTGTCATGTCAGCGGTTTTTGAGCTCCAGCTATCTATCTTTAAAGAATCTTGCAGATAGTTTGGAAGTGTACATCGAGACTTTCAAGGACCACGACAATAGAGAAGAGATGGGTTACAAGTTATGTGGTCAAGACTTTGTCCATGATTTGCTTGGTGTACTCGATTTGTTGTGGCCCTTGGTCGTCCTGATGCTGCAAGCGCAGGCTGAGTGGTATCCTGGTTGGAAGTTGTGCTCTCATGTTCCTTTGGTAAAACGACAGATGCAACGTTACATCGAGGAAGTATCTAAAATTGATCCTGATGACTTTGTTTGCCCAAGATTAAGCCAGCGAGTTCATGAAATTCGAGATTACCGCTTTGGGCAAAGTGAGTTGGAAACTGGTTGGTTTGTCGTTAGAGAAGGCGACGGTAAAGTGCCAGTGGATTGGGTAGCAAGAGAAATGCAGGACAGTGTTCATGATCTAGAGAAGCTGGCTGCGGATGTCATTAGTCAGATTGATGTTCGCTACACCAATAGCTTTTCCGACCTCAACAGAATGCTATCAAAGTGTTTTGACTTTGGACGACTTTTCGTGGTTTATGCGGTTTTCGTTCGGAAGAAAAAAGTCCAGTAAACAACAGGGAGTTTTCTGAACTTGGAGCTAATGAGTTTAGACGATGTGTAAACTTTTCCTCACAGATGCCACATGTTTCTGAAAAGAACTTTGAGCTTTGTAGCGAGCTATCATCCACAGTGTTTTGGCGTCTAAAGAAAACACTCATTGCCGTTGTTTGGGGTGATATGCTACACACTCACTTCCCTATTTTTTTCAAGAAGATCTCTCTCGATGACGAAGGAATTTTTTCCTTGCAGGATGTGGTTTTCGAGGAAGGAGTCTTTGTGACTAGGTTCCAAGAAGGTACACCAAGGCAGTTCACCCTTTCTGAGGTCTTCGAAGTGACGCTCAACAATGGTAAAATGATTGACGTTCTTTTTAAAGAAGAGGCCGTTATTGAATCTTTATATAACGATTCCTCATTTTATTCAGCTGTCGGCCAAGAGTTTTGTCTCGTCTTTGACATATTTTATGCGAAATGCGGAACTGAGGCTGTTGCCGAATCTTTTTACCGGGTGGTGGATAAGCAAGAAATGGATGGTGGGCAAAGCATAAAAGTGCTAATGAATCGTGCTAAAGTTGATTGGAGTTTACCATCTGTACTTTAATGCGACGCAGCACTGAACGAAATGGCTAAACTTTACATCAATGGGGACAAGGAACGTGGTTTGTCCAGACATATGATTCCTGTTTTTAGAGACCGACGAGCATGGCAAAAACACGAAGGAGAGATGTCCAAGGTTTTGCAACGCATCATAACATCACGACCTAAGCTACCTTTCCTCTTGTAACCTTAGTCAAGCGTCAACCAGTATGCTTCGTGCAGTTATAATCAAAAAGTTTTCAATCGAAATCTGGCAGCAGATCATAATTGTTTATCAATTGAAAAAGCTCCCTTGCTTACCATCTGCCTGCTGATTATAAACAATTATTAACTGAAAACCTTTTTTGTCCACCATCTGCCTGCTGATTATAAACAATTATTAACTGAAAAACCTTCTACTCCACAATCTGGCTGCTGATTATACAAAAGATGGTTCCTGATTGATTTGTTTTTTTTTGACGACGTATTTGACGACGTCAGTAAATCAAATTTATTTGGTGCCTACCTTTTATCGTATCATACGCTGTGATGAAACGATGAAACAGATGAATGATAAACATACGTGGTACGTTGGTCGTATGACTCGTTACATAATACCTAAGGTAAAGTGGCATTTTTTTGTGATTACACATGACACATCCTCACGTTGTAAAAGGAGAGTTGCAAGCTCCAACTTAAGGTAAGCTACAGCTATACACATGTATCATCTTTTATGTTATGTTTCATAATTATTTGCAATTGCAAACTATCAAAAATGGAGTGTGATACAGAAAAAATAAAACTGGCATCTCGCGAATATTTTATGGCTTCGCAGCGCAAAGTCGAAAATCCGCCGCGCAAAATTTCTAAAAAAAATTGATCTAGCTTGCGCAGTTTGCATACTTTCCAGTCTGGTCTGCAAACACATGTTCTACGTCGAATTCTATAACTAGTGGGATCTCAGTATTATGTGCTAGCGGTACCCTTACTGGTACAACCCAGCCGCCTAAAACGTTAAGTTTTTACGATTTCAAGCGCCAGAAGGAAAGCGATAGGCGCAGCAGATTCGAGCCAAAGACCAAGAAACTCAAAGCAAATTCTGGTAAAGGAAAAGATAAGGAGCATGAAGTAAGCATAAATATTGGTTACATGAAGGTCGATAATGACGGAAATTTGAAAAGATGTCGGGGTAAAACTCTCCTGTAAAAGTTTTGCCAAGTGCGAAAAGAGAGAAATCTTAGAAAAGCAGTTAGAAAACATGCTAACCACGACAATAACATCCATGGCGAGTTGGAGCACGTCCTTTTGAATGTAAACGGGAAGGAAATCACAAATTTGCCGGGAACTGAAAAAGAGTTTGTGTTAAGCGAATACAGGGAAGATATAGGGAAGAATTATAATCGCTCAACACTTTTCATTGCACTAAAATCTGCATATATGTACACAGAGATTTCAAAATTAAAAAGAAGTTGTGATGATAGTGAACCAGAGACAATCGCAGATCTTTCTGATGAGATGTTTTTAGAAACTGATGATACAATTGGTATTGAACTCTCACCTTGTCCATCTTCAAGTCCATGTGAGCCATTAACTAGCTTGCATATTGCTACAAATCTCCCAATGAATACACCTCCCATATATAACTCCCCAAAGTGCAAGTAACTATGTATCACGTAGCAAGGAGCTCAAATGTGAGTGCCCAACATGTCAACAATACTTTTCAATAGATGAAATAGCAGAGCATGCAGATATATGTTGTGACATATGGGTGGGAGTACTTCAATCTCAAAACACGGATAGTGAAAAGAACATTCCCGAAAAAAATCCTGATGTGGTGATAAACCAAGATAACACTACAAATGTGAAAGATAAGTTATTGGATATTAAAGCTGTAACATTGTCACCAAAGGCAGTAAGATTAAATGTTCGTAGAAAACATATATATGGTGTGACTTCATTGAGTATAGATCAAGTGGTAAAGTGTCACCAACTGACAGTGTAAAGATAGTGTTTGTTGGAGAGTGTGCAATTGATGACAGGGGGCCAAAGAGAGAGTTTTTTCAGGTACTAATATTGTAAGACATTAGTACCTTAGACATTAGACATATGTTTCTGGGTTAATATGAGCACCCTGTTGATTTAAAATAAATATATTGTTCTGCTACACTTCAATTCCCTTTGCAGCTTATTTCCCATAGTTTGTCTATCTTGCATCAATCAATGTTGACAAGTTTGGTTTAAATATAGGATGGGGACAATTGAAAAAATATGATTAGATGTTAATTCTTTCATCAGAAATGTTGGAGCATATGGAAAGAAGACTGTTCTGTGATGGAAAACCTATTAATTCAACTGTCGCCATCATGAATGGAGATTTTCGTTTTGCTGGCGAGGTCATGGTGATGTCATTACTTCAAGGCGGACCAGCTCCATCTTTTATAAGTCCAGATGTTTACAAGTACATCACCAAACAGGCACTCACAACAGAAGGAATGCCCGACTCCAAGTACAAAGAAGCTGTTAAAAAGGTATGCTGCAACAAGATGGAGATTACCATATGCTTGATTATTACTCGTTGCTGTGGCATGATTTTGAAATAAGTCTATTTTTATTATATTCTCTGATGTCAGTAATGATTCCTGTACACTTCTCCTTTTCAAAGATAAAGCAAGCTTGTGACGATGAAATGTTGAGGGAGATACTTGTCAGCGATGATATGATTGAAATGCTATCAGAGGCTGGATACACTGGTGTACCACATAAAGAGACAGTGCATACTGTTTCCAAAATTGCTCGGTAAGTACATTTTGAAAGTTAATGGAGATTAAAAAAACTATTCTTGTGCTGCTGGTTTATAAAGTCTAAGATTTATTTCTATTTTTAAAGGTCAATTTGCGTAATGGGCCACTTTTCATCAGTTCTTCCTCAAATTATGCAAGTGGTTGAAGGCCTCAGCAGTTGTGGTCTTATAAATTATATGATAGAAAATCCAGAGTTGTGGAAGCCATTGTTCGATCCTTATAACGATTCGTTTAAACTTTCTGCTGATACTTTCCTCAATGAAATTATTCCAACATTCAGCAGTTCGCAGATTCACAAGGAAAAGGAGATTGACGTGTACAAGATATTTTGCGACTATGTGCAAACCCTAGATACTGAAGGTTAGTTTGAATATATATGTTGTAAATTGGGTGCCAAATTGTATTATTGTATTTACGATGGAATTTTTTGAAAGTATCAAATAACGCGTAAAATTTATTGAAGTCATGTTTTCTAATCTGAAGTTGTGGTATAAACACAAAAAATGGATACCTTGATTAGTTTGTTTATTCATTTTTCAGTCTTAAATGTTTAAAACGTTTTTAACAGGAGACGTATCCATATCAGCGTTTCTGAAGTGGTTATCGGGATGTAAGACTATTCCAGTTCTAGGTTTTCCAAAAAAATTTTCCGTAACGTTTGTACATGATTGCAAAGAAAATTGTAAATGTCGCCCCACAACATCAACATGCGATCTTCTGCTGAGAATTCCAGTTCATATAAGTAACATTAGCGAGATGGAGGAAATGATGACATCAGCACTTAATGACTTCGCTGGTTTTGGATGTATCTGAATCAATGTCCATACAATGGTAGCTTGGGAACATTTTATATTTATGTTGTCATTGAAATATTTTGTTTGTTCCGTTCTAATTTGCCAGTTTGAAAGAACGTTTCAAGGGACAAGTCTTTATTGAAATTTGACTTTTGGTGCAGAATTTATATCAATAAGAAAGATGCCTGATTTTGCTTGCATCGGTACGCTGCGCAATAAAAAAAAAATATAGAAAACATACAATCATCATGTATAGAAATACAAGAAACATCTATACCATGCAATATAATAGGCAGAAAATTCAGTTCTCAGAACTTGCAAATTCAATAAGTTTCAGATACAATTCAAATGCATCGGCTGCATTTGCTGGCAGATTAAGATCTTCTTTATCCAGTACGTAATTAAAATATTCTTTGTATATTTCTAATGTATCAAACTCCTCGTCGCCTATTGCGTGTTGCTCCATTTCATGAATTCGTTCATTTGCTACTGCACGCTTACATTCGGCAGCACCAAAATTCCCTGGGAGATAATACAGAACATCTGGAATACCTGCTACTGTACCGTAATTTCTTGTTGGACGAATGCGATGTGTGTTCCATTGCATTTTGACAGCTTCTAGCTCACATGATAGGACAGGAGAAAAACAAAACCATAGACACTCCATTTGCAGTGTATTCCCTATTTCTAACTGACCAGAAGAAACCATGTCTTTGAAAAAGTCCATCCACCATCCTGTTCTGGCTCGGCGAAAGTAAGACCACCAGCCCTCTATTCGCTGGTTAGCAGACGAAGTTCCATATTTATGGGCGTTGTGGCCAGCGAATAAGTCATTTCCATCCTTTCGAAAATAACACTGCATGGCCGCAAGTACTCCATTTTCCGTACCACAATCACTTCTAACAACAAGGGGGCAGCCTTCGATGTTTTTTACACAGTCCAAATAAAATCTGGCTGGAACTTCGGGTTTATTGTTTGATCGCACAACTTCTAGCCATAAAATTTTGCGGCTGTATCCGTCTATTGCTCCGTGGATAGGAAACCCGTACGGCTTTAATTTGTCATATCCTGCATAATACCACATCAGAAAATGTATGCTTTCATGCTTTTATGCTATAGAGAGTCGACTAAGTGCAGAAAAAGTACACTCACCATCGACATGCCAGCAAAAGTTTGGACCAAAACTTGTATACCTGCGTCTTGATAGCCTTCTTCGACGTCTTTGCTGAACACCTTCGGGATCGATTTCCTGAAGAACCTGTGCAACCACTTGACGAGGCACGTGAATGTGGTATTGTAAACGAAGAACATGCCATATTGATCTGTAGCCCAAAGACGCACCAGATCCATTTGAGATTTCGTTTTCAATGACTTCCCTTATTCTCAATTCGTCATTTTCGTTGACATTGGAGTTTCGTCTCAAGCCTGCAATCTACGTTTTAAAGTCCTTAAACTCATTTCTATGCCGTGATAGTTCGATAAGAAGTCTTTTATGATGCTATTTGAATAACCCAAATGAAAATATTGTGTTATTATCTCTCTTTCAGCCATCTTGTTTATGGCATATAGGAATATAATAGAATGGCTTATATCCGGTGATTTTTCTTGCGTTTCGACTACATTTACGTGTGTTGTGACCATATTTACTTGCGTTGTTTTTATTTTACTTGCGTTATGATTATTTTATCTGTGTTGCTACTTTATTAACTTGTGTTGTGATTATATTTACTTGCGTTGTGATTATTTTACTTGTGTTGTGATTATATTTACTTGTGTTGTGACTATATTTAATTGTGTTGTGACTTTATTTACTTGCGTTGTGATTATTTTACTTGTGTTGTGATTTTATTTACTTGCGTTGTGACTTTATTTACTTGCGTTGTGACTTTATTTACTTGCGTTGTGATTATTTTACTTGCGTTGTGATTATTTTACTTGTGTTGTGATTACATTTACTTGTGTTGTGACTTTTTTTAAGTGATGGCCCTTATGGGCCACCGTACTATTTCCTTACAGCATCTATACTCTAATGCGCCTTCTAACAAATCGGTATGACAGCATTGACAATTACACCTGAAACGTGGGAGCATTGTGGTTTATAAAGTAACTTTATGTATATTACAAACAGGAGAAAACAACAACTTACCATTCATCGAGTGGAATTACGCCATCACTTCGTTGTTCTAATGTCGTAGGGAGAATTCCATCGGGATCATCTGGAGTATGCACTTCATCACCATCTCCTGCGAGCGGTTCATCGTCATATGCGAAGTCGTTTTAATGCTCGACATAACCCAGCTCGAATCAGATACGCATTCAGACATCGAATTCGAATTATCTGAGCACTGATTTGAGGCCATACTTTTCGGAAAACTTGTTTTTTAATATTTTATTGAAAATACTGTCATTATTTGTTTTTAAAACAAGAAAAACGACAACAAAATCACTTCCTATATTATAATATTATATTGACGGAAACAGACGTGTTCAACTATCTGCGTCACAAGTATCAAAATGGCGTCGTAAAAAATTCGCAAATAGTACCCGACTTTGGAGGCAAAATTAAGGAACTTATATTCATCTGTTTAAGTCTAGCGACATGTCATAGTCTTCAAATAATCCAAATTTTCAATTAAGCTCATAAAAAAGGGGGGCTAAAATTCGTAATATAAGCACTTTAAGAAAAAATAAGTATTTTGTGTATAGCTGTGAATATAACATGTCACAAGCCAAGAAAAGACAGTTGCTGGATTACATGGCTACTAACTATGAGGACTCAAAGAAATGTTTTCTAATAATAAAAAAGTCCATTACTGTCATCTTTTACAAATATGTGTGACTTATGTCTGTACAAACACATTTCTTTCAAGCATTTTACTCAAAAAAACCGAAACGACCTTTCCTTTGTTACCTTCAATCTCTCAGATTTAAATTCTGTAAAAGCAAGGCCATTCAAATATTCAAATCCTTGCACGTAGAACACAATATGAATCAATTTGAGAAGAGTTCATTGTTTCGTTTGCCAAAGTCCATTATATATAATTGGCAAATGAAATAAAGCAGTATTTGCCGAGACTCATAATCATTTATCAACATCGCACTGTATTACACAGAAGATAAGGGTCGATTTTCTTGAGAAAAGTCCAAAGTATATGCTACAATTTAATCCGGTTACCATGTCACCGTGAATCGTTTATTAAATTTTCTTTTCGCATCATCAGCATCCGTAGAAACGACAATAGTTTGCCATATTTTAAGATTTTTACATAAGCCAAGAGATTTTTCTTGATTTTGAAGTCATTTTATAGTTCACTTGCCCACCATTACAAAGCATAAATTGATTAAACTTTCTGTCATTTAACGTAAACAACACTCCACGAAATTTCCTTGCAAGTTAACTACGCAGCTACTTAACTATCCGACAAACTACGTTATGTGCAACGCAGTTAAGTCGAGCAGTTAAGTTACTATAGTTAAGGAGTTAACTACGGTAGTTAGCGTTAACTATAATTAAAGTTAACTACATTTTTATACAACCGGCCCCAGCTCTTCAAAAGTATCATTGTACAAAAATGATTTTTCAAGAGATGTAGCACTCATTGCATATCTTTATTATTTCTACATTTAGGCCGTATTCTGTGGCATGGAAAGTCACTTTGAAAACGTTCGTTGCCCCAAAACAGGCAATATATTTCCATTGACAATTCAATAATTTAATGTCTTTCGCAATCACTAGCAGCTAAATTCTGACCTGTGAACTCTATAATAACTGAAAGGCTAACTAAGCCACCATCTTCGAAGCCTCACTTGAAGCCTGCATGATCGTAGCCATTGAAGGTACGAAGGTGAAATATATCACTTTGAAATTGCCCGATTTTTTTAACAAAACAGTTCTCTTTGAGCAAGCATAATGGCTAAAAACCTTAAAGAATGTTTGGACTTTAATATAAAACAAGATTGAAATGCATTTGTACATGTAAATGCTGTTTTTTACACGGATAAAAAGCGAACTTTGTTTTGGCACGTTAAAACATGCCTCCTAACTTTAATACAAAACAGACACCCCTTTGTTTTTATATTAAAAGGATATAAAATACACTTTTCTACCCTTATAACATTGTTTGAATCTTAAAAAATGAAGCTGTAAGGGCAAAAAATGTTTTTGGTAATTTTTGTGTTTCCAAGCAAAATTAGCTTGTCCCTGTCCTTTTTGAAGGTTCAGAGCTCAGACAAAATGAAAAACACATTGCAAAATATTCCAAAAAGTTGGCGAAAAAAATACATATGGAGTTTGTTTTTAAAAACTGTTATGCCATATTATTTTGCGATTATTAGTTGCATCATTAAAGAGACAATATTAAAAAAGGGTCAATGCCCACCAAAAAAAAACACAAAAGCACAAATGACACTCCACAATAATTACTTTTTATACACTTAAGCAAGCTTAATGAAGCTTTAGAGCAAAATCTTATAGCAATTCTTACAGCACATGTTTTCAACCACATATTTGCTATAAGCAATCCCACCTCTCTTTACCTTTAGTCAGAGAAATTTGATTTGCTGACAGCCGTCCACCTGGTTGAAGGACCAGAATATCAGCTTGATCAGCTCCGTGTTGAATTTAAGAATGTTTATACTCTTAAGCCTGAAATTGCACGTAGTAGTTTTGCCAACTTGCACCCCACACATGGCAAGCAATCACAATAGGGAAAGTTCTGTAAATGCAACGCTGAGGGACTTTTTTCCAACTGACCACTCCCCATTGAACCATTCGCCATTTAGGAATGCACCGTATCCCAAACTACCCGATGCATCTGTCGATAAACAAACGTCTGGAATTGGTACCTACCCCCGTAAATCAAGAAATGTACCCAATTCCACGTCTTCAAAATGGAGTGCCACCACGCAATATCCAACATGCAATCCTTATTCAATCCAATAAAATGCAATTTTTTATGATTCCAGCCTTTCAACAGATGCAATAAACGACGGAGAAATGTACGACCATGGAGGACAACTGCACACGCATGACTTAGCTTTGTTACCAATGACTGAAGGTCTTTTAGCCGGCAAGAGCTTTTGGAACTCCAGGCCTGGACCAATTGCATCAACTCCTCCAGATTCTCTGATTGCACTCAAGCAATCATTTAAACTGAATCCAACATGATTCCAAGAAACGTCAAGCAGGTAGACGGGCTGACACATTTTTCAGGGGCCAATGGAATGCCTAACACACGAGCTACTTTATCAATTGCTTTTAAATGTAATGCACAAATTTTGGATTCAGGTGGTCCCAGAGTAAAGTAATCATCAAGATAATGCAAAAGATCACCAACATCAAAATAATATCCTAAGCACCAATGAAATTAGTCTGCTAAACTGTCAAAAATAGCTGGAGTTGAGCGTAAACCGAACGGCAAAGTCAAATCAACATAATACTTTCTTTTCCAGAACATTCCTAAAAGGTAGCGATCTGAGGGGTGTATGGAAATAATGCGATTAGCGTGATATCCACTTTACCCATCAATGCACATCTGAGGATTTCAAAACGTAAGGATTTTTTTATCATATTCACTTGTCAAAATTTAAATTACTGAAATACAAAATTAAGAACAGGTAGAACAAATAGTCTATACATCATTGTATTCAATAATGTAGGAGATAATAGAAATTTAAAAACATTATTGTTTAATACAGGATTATCAAAAAATTTTATGGAATGTTTAATAGATGACATGAATGAGAATGATCATGGTTATATTGTTTTCAACAATCATATAAAAAGTAAACATAATGTAAGAATCAGAAAAGACATTTTTCCCGAATGAATTGACAACAATATATGATGTAAATATTTAATTTTATTTCTGAAATATACTTTTTATTAAATAAATGAAATTCTTTTCTTTACGAATAAATGACTTATATAAATAGAGAGTAAATTTTAAAATTTGGTATAACACGTCTATCGAAAACAAAAAAAAATTGCAACTTTCTTTGAATGTAACAATCTCAATTTTTTTAATGTTGGTGTAAATTTGATGTATTTAAAGACAAAGTAAATAAAATAAGAAATGAAAAAGTAGACGTACCATTTATTAATGAAAAAAACGAAGAGATATATCTTGACGAAAATTTTGTTATAAAAGTTTGGAACCACTTTCTTGATAATTCATTAATTCCTGAAGATCTAATCGAGGGTGATTTACGAAATAATGAAATTTGTATTTCATATAAAGAAGATTTTGTAGGAAAAGAAAAATGATTGTAAGTTTTTTTGAATGTAACAATTCCATTCCAATTTTTTAATGTTGCTGTGAGTTTGATATGTTTAAAGACATAGTAAATTAAATAGGGAAAAAATTAGAAGTACCATTTGTTAATGAAAAGGATGAAGAGATATTCATTGATGAAACTTTTTTCATGAAAGTTTGGAACCATTTCTCAACTATTCATTTTTTTCTGAAGTTCTAATCAAGCATGATAAACGAGTTGCTGAGTTTCGTGTCTCATATATAGACTTTGAAGAAGAAGAAAAAGAAAAGACATGTATAAGCATATGAAAAAGCATATTTTACTTTGGATCTAAACATGTTCTTAAATATGAAGGACATGGTTGATCCTAAATTCAATGATTATAC